ATTCAGAATTATTTTATTCTGTTCATCTGATTACATCTGGATTCGAACTTGGGTCTGTATTTCAAGAGTTCATGAGTGTACCAACTAAGCTAGGCCCATCTGTGCGAATCCATTTTGGGAAAGGGGAACTCCCATATATCCAATTCAAGAAAAAGGAAGAATGGGATAACTCCTGGCGGTCCCAGCCATACCCAGACTTCTCTGACCCATGGCCTTCAGGGGAAGCACTGATTGAGCTCGGCATGGACTGATCTGGTTGGTTATTGTTTGGGTAGGGCTGCAGGGACTGGGGAAGGGCTAGCAATTGCTTGTTTATCGTGCCGACTGGTGTTAGTTTCGAGAGATCTGCATCGCGTCCTCAGACAGTTGATCCTTCACCTGAGGGTTGGGGCAATCAATGCTGACGGTCCCGTCCTATTGCTCCAAGGAGGGTCATTATAAATGATGTTGGGACGGTTTTCAGCAGGAGGAGCTCCCCAACGGCAGACCAATTTTGTTTTGTTTTTCAAGCAAGAAGCTAGTTTTATGCAGTGAATGTGGCTAACTGTATTTTGGATTCATGAGGCTGAACCATATCCACAATCCAGTTGTGCCATCTGCAACAGAGTTGGCCTGCCTAGACAAGAGTTAATTATTTAATGCTGAGGCAGCTGAGTGACCTTCTTGATTCAGGTCTGCCAGATCAGGTAATATAAATAAAACATAAGTACGAAAGGTTATAATGTTTGATTTGAGCTGGATTCTCACAGAGGAAAGAAGTTGGGGGGGAGTAGAGGGGTGAGGCGTGCACGTGCAATGTCAGAGGGGGAGCAGCGGTACGGCAAGTTCACCTTGCCACTAGAGCGTGCTTATGGCTGAGGAACAGAGCAGGCAGTTCTATGACAGCAGACCAGTGGGGCCCTCTTTGTACAGCTTGCGTGGGGGGGGAAATGGTAACTGCTTTTCACTGTTGTTTCATCTTTCCTTTTCCTGCTGTGTAGTTTCCCCCCACAAGCCCCACCGGCCATGAGTGACAATTGAGCAGGTGGTGCCAGGGCCTATCATGAAAACACATCTCCAAACAGCTCAAAGCCTCAAGCAACACATGCATTTTCTGCTTGCGCTGCAGATCTCACGCATCAGACCATGCCAGATTCTTTAAACCACCAGTACCGGCCATTTTTTCCCAACGTGACCATTAACATGCCGCATCCTTCAGGGGCCGGCCTACCAGACCAACATGACTGGTAGCACCAGCCAAAAAACGCCGGACTGGTTTGCTTTCTAATGGCACACAGCACACATTCGCATGCGGAAAAGAGACCCTGAAGTACTGGTGCTGGTGGTTCAACCACCAGTCCCTCTAAGCCTCTCTTTTCCAATGTGATTTGCTGCCTGACCCTATTAAAACCAAGCTGTGGTGGCCATTATCTTACCAGGCAACACCAGTACCTCTGAGCCTCTTTTTCCAGTGGAAGATTTCTGCTGCACACCAAGTTCAAAACGAACCAGTGCAATGCTCTTTTCTTTTTTTCCTTTTCGGCTGGCACCGCCAGGCAAAAAGGTCCAGGAGGCCAACCCCCCAAAGAATGCAGTGGTAGACAATCCGTGGCGAAACAGGTCCTTACGGCCCTGGCTTCATTTCCATTCTCGGGAGTGTCAGTCCGGTTCCTATTCCACCGGCAAGTCAGAGTAAAATATTACATCATGAAACACACGCTTCCTTCCGTCTGGCCGAAGGAACCCTGACAATAATAATAATAATAATAATAATAATAATAATAATAATAATAATAATAATAAACCCAAAACAAAAAAAATCCGCGGCAAAAGTTTGCCTGGGAAAGGTACTGGTTATTTAACTGGCCAGCAGAAGAAGGAAGCTGGTAAAGGGGCAGGTGGATAAATGACCAGTCTCTCTAAGTCTCCTGCTTTTTTCTGATGTGCTGCACCACTCGATCATTTAAAAAATGGATAGTCACGGGTACAATCTTGGCAGGGGCTGGCAGCCTTTTCCTCCAGTAAGCCTGGACGGTGATTTTGAGTCATGCGAACTAGCATATGTTGGAACAATGTAGCTGGCAACGGGATTGGTGGTTTCAACCACCAGTACTTGTGAGTATCTTTTTCCCAATTAAGATTTCTGCCGGACACCAACTTTCGTCGAACTGGTACAGCTATGAAATAGAATCTCTTTTTCTGGCCCAGGCAGCCTTCTCGTTTCGGTAGGCTGAGCCCCAAAAGACGAAGCGCACTGATCGCTGTGTTGGAGAGAAACAGCAGGGAAAAGTACTGCTGGTTTACAGAAACACTTCTCCCGGATTCTTGGGAGGAATTTGGAGGCCTTGAGCAGTGAAGTCATAAGCCTGAGGGTGATGAACCATTGTCGCGACTTCTATGTAGTGCGCATTGTTGTGAACTTGTGACAGTAAATCCTACTACGACTTTGAACCTACAGGTTTCTCGGTGAATGCGCCTCTGCAACTGTTCATACCAAGGCATTCCATTTTGCCAGGCTGTTTTGGAAAAAGTGACTTGGATAGTTTCAACAACAACAGAGGGAAAATGCGACTTGGACAGTTCATTCTGACACAGGGTTGGTGCAGCGCCTGTTGGATTGTCACAGAGCAGAATTGAAAAGAACCCATGTCCTGAGAATAAAAATATTATATTTCGCATTGTGGACCAATGCTAGCCACAAACTTCTTGGGTTTTAGTTGAAGACAAGTTTCTCTTTTTTTTACAGCGGAAGACAAGTTTGTGGATCCTTCCACATTTTCCATGAACAAGTTCGAATCAGCACTGATTTTGAACTGCCAGCGCACCTAACACATTCCGAAAAACACAGTAGTAAAGGAGGCCATGCATAGGCTGGGCACAGTGCTGAGCGCAGGTTCAAGCTGCGGAAGTTGGTACTCGGTCTAATTAGCACTACACCGTGCTTATTAAAAAACAAAGAAATAACTACGCCCAGGTGCGGTGTGCAGTTTCGAATTCGCAGGAATAACAGTAGACTGCAAGTTCGGGCCTAGAGCAGTTCGAAACTGCAAAAAAAACAGGTACCTTGCAGTTCCTTTTTTTTTTTTTTTTATGAACACAAAGGCCCCATCTATTCTGGGGGGCAGCAGTCCGGTTGCTTATCACTGGCAAGCATGAGTACACATAAGGGGGAGACAGAAAAGAGGAGAAAGCCTTACCCTTGGGGTGCTAGACACCTTCCAAGAGGGGGATAGTAGATATACTGGTCCTCTCTCACCACCTCCTTTTGGTAGGCCTCCTCTGCAAGCGGGGAAACACTCGTGGTACCCTGTTGCATAGCAGAGGACCCCCCTAAAAGGACGGGTGCAGAGGTCAGCATTTCGATTAGCCACCTTGGCCCGCTAGCCCAAAAAAGGCTCATCAGAAATGACCACCAACACTATCTTTGCGCTTCAAAAAGCTGCAAGTAATCACCCTAGCGTACTACCATAGGCCCAACCACGCAAAGATACCTAATGATAATTCCTAAAACACAGTACAAAACGGAGCAAACCCACAAACTCCACCCATCAACGGGTGAGCCCATCAACCTATCCAAGACAACCACCAAATAGAAGCGCTAACAAAATCTTGTCAGCCCTGCTCATCAGTGGGTTCATCCACCTACAGTCCCTATGACCTTATATCCGAGCGTGTATACTGTGTGTTCTTACTAGCCCTACTCCCTGTGTTGCTATGAATTTCTGTATATTAATTCTGCAACCCTGGCAAATACCATTTCTTTCATATTTTTTCACTCTTCCCGATACAGCTGTTATCTTGCTTGGCCCAACACTAAGAGCCACTGTTAAGGCAGAGAGTGCAAGGATCGCTGTCATCGCTCAAGAGCAAGACTCGGGACAATTTGACAACTGGGATCGTGTGTGACTTTCGCAGATGCTCTCAGTATGGGCAAAATGGGGAGGAGCGGTTTTGGAAAAGGTGGGGCTCATACTCGGACCTGATATACAGGAATGACCGGACTGGCAACATCCAGTTTGGTCCATTGCTACAGCACTAGCCCTCGTAACAATACGAGTAGAGCAACTGGTAGATGTATATAGTAGTTAGTTGCGTCCAATAGTTTAGGACAATAGGTTGTTACGAGTAGAGCAACTGGTAGATGTATATAGTAGTTAGTTGCGTCCAATAGTTTAGGACAAGAGGATAGTGTTTCAATGTACCATAGCTATCATCCACCTGCAATGGAGTCTTGGCCGCCATCTTCTTTGCCCACCATTCCCAAAACGGCTGGACAAGTGGGCATTGGACGAAGAGATGTGGGATAGTCTCCACTGCCTCGCATCCCGCTGGGCAGGAAGACTCCTTGTATTGACTCTTCGATGTCTGCCACTCTGCGGTGGGCACAGCAAGGTGGGCAATCTGCCAAAGGAGACCTGCATGCTTCTGATCAGGACTGGCAGTCCAGATCGAACACTGAATTCTCCACTGTTTTCTTGTCCATCGCTGCTACTGCGCTGGCAGCAGCCAGTCCCTCTTTGCCCAGTGTGTCTGAAGCTCCTCCCATATATTCTCCCGGGGCAAGATGGATCTGTAGATTTGCTTCGTTGTAACACAGTGCAGACCGATCTTCTTCTTCTTGAGATGATTTTGGAGTGCCCATGCCCATTCTTGCGGGTCATATGCGAGATCCCTCTTGCATGTTGAAATGCAGAATGACCTGAACTGATCCGAATGCTGGCTATCCTTGCAGACCATTATACTTTCCATGGCATCTCTTGGCAGCTGTCGCTGAGGTTGTAAGTCTCCCCTGCCCTTGGGCTGCAGTGGTTCGCCCAGATCCCGCCAACCTGTGCTCACTGTCCACTCGGACACTTTGGCACGGTCCTGAGGCGCATCCTCCTCAAGTAAACTACCTTAGGCTGAGCCTCACCTCTGAGTTTCAGCCACTCCCCCTTGTTCAGAATTTCCTGTTGCATCAAGGCTATCTATTGTGTAGGGATGGCCTCCCTCACTTCCTGCAGCCTTTGAGTTCTACTAACCTGGTACGGGAGAATATGGGCCATTTCTTCATCAGATTTCCATGAGTTGGTCAACTCGTTCCATAAGTAGCCGATCTTGTAGGTGCCATGCTCCGCCCACTGCCTCCATGAGTTGGTCAACTCGTTCCATAAGTAGCCGATCTTGTAGGTGCCATGCTCCGCCCACTGCCTCCCAAAGGCTCCCTGTCCTTGCCATTGGAGTGGATCACCCTGGCTGTCACAAATGAAGCGGTTACCAAACAGTAGTTGATTATAAACTGCATCCGCCGTTTTCGGTTCTTGGTTCAGAAGCTCAATTTTCCTCCAAATGGCAAGCGGGGTGGACCAGACTGTGTCCCTTCTGAGATGGCCAATTAGGCCTGTACTCAACAGGCAGATTTCCACCAAGTCAGGGACAACCTGCGGGTGTGGGCTAAATGCTGCCATGCCAGTTGCACCCACTGCTCCCCTCCAGTTCTCAGCAAAAACCGGATCAAATGTCGAATTTGTAATGCCATCATCTGCAGCCTCGGGTCCAACAGTCCAAGGCCGCCTTCACATCTCGGTTGAATGAGTTTCTTCCACGCTATCCGGGTGATAGAATCATGAGCCCTCGCATCATTTGACCACAGATATGCTTGGATGGCTCATTTAAGATATGCAAACGTGTGTTTTCCTGGCATGTGGATAGCTCCTGCAAACCACAGCGTAGCCAAGACATAATTTTTGATAACGAGGGCTTTACTAAAGACTCCAAGACATACACTTTTGCTCCATGCATTACTCTTGACCACTGCTGTGACTACTCCATTTGCCATCTGCTCCACTCCCCCCCGCCCCAGCGTCAACGTGGCCCCCAGGAAACACATACATTCTCCTTCCCCCACTGTGGGGATATCCCAACCCTCTGGCGGCTTTGTATCCGAGGGGAGAATGGCCTGGGACTTAGTCCAGTTGACTCTTGGCCCTGAAAAAGCGGCAAAAAATATCCAGGCCGTCCTTCAAATATACCAACTGTTGTGTAGTGGGGCGAATGTTGGCACCCGTATCATCTGTGAATGCGGAGGACTTATACCGCACAGCCCGAACTTACCCGCAAACCCTCCAACCTCCGGTCCCCTCTCAAAATATCATGCAATGACTCTATGTAGATCACATACAGTGCTGGCGAGAGGGGACATCCTTGCCTTACCGATCAGGTCACCCTGATTTTGTCCGACCGTATCCCGTTTACATGAATGGCCGTGGACGCCATGGCTAGGACACTTCTCACCCATCCTCTAAAGATCCCCCAATACCCCTCCTAGCCATGGCCTGTGTAGCGGACCTCTGGTTGGCCTGTGAGACCAGCCCCTTGGCCTGTTCTCACAGGCCTGTGTTGTATTCGGGGTAGTTCAGTCCAGGCCGGTACCTCTGTCGGTACCAGCCAGCCCAGTCCGGTCCAGTCAGTCCGCTGGGTTATACCCCAGCGGTTGTCTGTTTGTGAGATCATTCTACACTCGCACACGTTGGAGTATGTGCGTTGGAGTCTAGCGTGGGAGCTGCGCTGTGCCATGTCGCTCCCCCTTCTTCCTCCATCTTCATCTCTATCCTAGGCGGAGCACCACACCTGGTGGGTCCACCACACTAGTATCGGAGCGGGAACGTTCCCCGCTCCCACCCACCACCCCGCACAGTAGGAGAACAGCAAAAACCGATAGCAGGGTATTTGGCTGTTTTTCGGGCGGTTTTCGACGAAAACGAGGGAAGACAAAAAGCTGCACCAGGAGAGCGACACGTGGCGGAAAAAGGACTTGCTATCGCGCGCGCGTGCGCTGGCCAAGGCCGCCGGACACGTGCACGCCACGGTGCCCCGCTGCCCCGCCCCGCCCCGCTCCGCTCCGCTCCCGGATTATATTATCAAGATCCGGGATCTTGATGCTGCCGGGGTTTGAACCAGGGCAGCTGTTGGCCTTGCGCGTGCATAGCTGCTCCTGTAACACACTCGCCATACTGTGTGTATGCCTTGGTAGTGTGGCTCGCTGCGGTTGAAGTCCGGCGGCCGGTCGGCCTCAATAGTGGCCTCCTGCGCCATGGGCTGAACCGTGAAATGGTCGTTCATACCGGCGGGCGGCAGCCTCAAGAGCGCCGCCAGGCCCAAACGGTCATGTCGTTTGGGCCAACTGGGGTCTGCTGGCGTTGGGGCCCAAGGTGCGTGCCAACTATTTACCCCCCCCAACCCCCGTCGGCGAGCAGCGGCCAGCAGGGCAGCAACGGCCGGGCTGCTATTTGCCCCCCCCCCCCCACCCCCTTGTGGCTGCTGCTGCCTGCGCACGTGGCCATGTGCAGTGCCACGTGGCAGCCTGCTCTGAAGACCCCCCTGGCTAGGGGGTTGCGCCACATTATTTTTTTTACTATTTTTCTATTGCTGCAGCAGCAGTTTCGCAGCAGCTCAAGATCCCCCCCTGGCTAGGGGGCTGTGTGACTGTGGCAGCAGGGTGGATGATCAAGATCTCAGCCAACTCTAGATCATCATCATCATTTTTTTATTGTTGTGGCATCAGGCTAGCAGCACCTTGAAGGCCAAGATCCTGTGGATCTTAGTGCTTTGCTCTTGGCCAACCAAGAGCCTGGTATTATCTCTCTCCACTAACCTACCCTTCCCCAACCCCTTTTCTCTTCCCCCCATCATCTAATCATCCTTTCTAACTCTACCACTACCCCCCTCCTCCCACCTTCCTCTTCACTCATCTCCCACTACCTTTTTCTCTCCTCTCCTCCCCACTCACCATCTTCTACTAATCTCATCTCCCCCATCTCCCACTTCACTCTTCCTCTCTCTCTCACCTATTTCTCTCTTCTTCATCACTTTTTCATCCCCTTGGCCCCCCCTACTTCGAATTTTTCTGTTTTTCTTCTTTTCTCTGTCTCTTTGATTTAAATCTTCTCTTTTCTCCAAAAGTTCGAATTATCTTTTTCCCCCTCCTCCTCTCTCATTTTTTTAATTTATTTTATTTCCTTTTTATTTATTTTGAAAATTCGAATTTCTTTGCGGCACCCTTAAATCTGATTAGGAGTTGGTCATTCTTGCATTCGGCACACATTTTAACCCTGTGGGGGTAACAAAGTGCTGCCGAAATTTTTTGTTTTTTCTTTCACATAGTATTTTTCAGCACATTTTGACCCTTTGGGGGTAGTGAAGTACTGGCAAAATCTCCTCATTTTACTTAGCCTTTCTTCTTGACGGCATACTTCGACCCCATGGGGGTAACGAAATGTTGCCGAAATTTTTAAAAAATCAGATACTTCATTTCTCTCCACCTCCTCATCTACTTATTTATTAATTTATTTTCTGAATTTTTTTAATTTGCGGCATTTTGAAACCTAAAACTGCTTCTCTTGGTCTCTCCTTTCCCTTGGCATATTCTTGACCCCATGGGAGGTAGGGAAATGCTGCCGAAAATTAAAATATATATATATATATATATATATATTTCTCTCTTCACATTTTGTTTCCTTATTTCTTTAATAATTTTTAGCATTGATTTATTTTCTTATTTATTTTTATTTTTCTTTCGAAATTTCGCTGTTCATTTATTTTTCCTCCTGCCTTCCCCCCCTATGCTTGCTATTTTATTTTCTTGATTAGGTCAGCGGTACCCTACCCTAACCACTCAAACTCCGGTTAGGGTTTTCTTAGGGTTTTTCTAGGGTTTAGGGTCTTCCTAACCCCCCTACTTTCCCTTCTCATTCGGCCACCCTGGATCCGAACCACCCCTCCCCCTTTGACAGCGCCCGTGCTCGATTTACTAGCATCGTCCGTCGCCTTCTATCGCAGACCTCCTCCTACGCCCTCCACTCACGCGGACCTCCTCCGACCCTCTCTAGTCCGGCCCGTTACCTCCCTATGGCCGACGACGTGTCATAAGCCGCTGAGGCGGCGACAACCTCGGCAGCGGGCTCCACACCCGTGCCGACGAACCAGGGCCATCAGCCCCAGAGGGATCCGCACACCCTCATCACCTCCCTCCGTGCGCCCTTACAGGCGCAGATGGCGACTCCTGCCGCTGGCCTGCGACAACTCCAGAACACTAGCCGCCCTTCCTCTCCCCACTCTCTCTCTACTCCTGGCTCCCAGTTCGGGTCCCCCGTCCTCCGACATAATGGCCACGGCGAGCTTCCTCCTCTGTCGCCCCTAACCCGGCCATCCTGATAACCGTCCACGCTCCTAGCGCGACGGCCGCCACGGGTCAGGCCCTCCCTCACTCTACGGGCGCACCCGCCCAAATTCCGATCACTACGGCCACGAGACCACAACCCGCTGCCATGGTCTCAGCTTTTCCAGGTGCCCCGCTTCTCCCTCCCCTTCGCACGACTGCAGCGCCACCTGGCTCTCCCCCCTGTGGGATGCCCCGCGCCGCTCGTGTGTCCACTTCCCCCCCTCTTTCTCATGCCACTCCGCACTCGATCTACGTTCGACGTCTCGAGGACGAGCTTGCCCAGACCCAGGCCGACCTCGCCCTCTTACGCCTTCAGCCACCCCTACCCTCACAGATGGTCGCGCCTTCGGGCGCACCCCCTTCTTCCTCTACTTTTCCATTCTTGCCGGCTCGCTTCCCCCGCCCCGCACCCCCTCCACCCCCATCCTACCTCCTTCCTACTCCCTCAGCTGTTGCAGCTCCCTCGCAGCCTGCCGCTGTTCCCCCCGCCACTCCACCATGCGGCCCGGGCGGACAGTCAATTGCACCCCCTTCTCCAGGATTTGCGCCGACTTACTCGACCGTAGCACAGACCTCTGCTCCCCACTCTCCTCGTCGCCAAAACGGTGGTGCACCACTCCTCCGCTTGACGAACATTGCCTTGTATGATGGTACAAGCATACGTGTGTCTCGGTGGCTACAGTCTGCCACCCGCACCCTCCAACTCATGGGCGCCCCACCCGACACGTGGGTGGCTCAGCTCTCCACGCGCCTGCTGGCCTGCGGCATTTCCAGGGAACTAGTCGCCCTTCCTCTCCCCACTCTCTCTCTTCTCCTGGCCTTTTGTCCGGGTCCCCCGTCCTCCGACATAGTGGCCACGACGAGCTTCCTCCTCTGCTGCCCCTGATCCGGTCATCCTGGTGACCGTCCACGCTCCTAGCGCGACGACCGCCACGGGTCAGGCCCTCCCTCACTCTACGGGCACACCCGCCCAGATTCCGATCACTACGACCACGGGACCACAACCCGCTGACATGGTCTCAGCTTTTCCAGGTGCCCCGCTTCTCCCTCCCCTTCGCAGCGCCACCTGGCTCTCCCCCGTGTGGGATGCCCCAGGCCGCTCATGTGTCCACTTGCCCCACTTTTTCTCCTGCCACTCCTCGCTCGATCTACGTTCGACGTCTCGAGGACGAGCTTGCCCAGACCCGGGCCGACCTCGCCCTCTTACGCCTTCAGCCACCCCTACCCTCACAGATGGCCACGCCTTTGGGCGCACCCCTTTCTTCCTCTACTCTTCCATTCTTGTCGGCTCGCTTCCCCCGCCCCGCTGCCCCTCCACCCCCATCCTACCTCCTTCCTACTCCCTCAGCTGTTGCGACCTCTTCGGCCGCAGCTCCCTCGCAGCCTGCCGCTGTCCCCCCGCCACTCCACCATGCGGCTCGGGCGGACAGTCAATTGCACCCCCTTCTCCAGGACCTGTGCCGACTTACTCGACCGTAGCGCAGACCTCTGCTCCCCACTCTCCTCGTCGCCAAAACGGTGGCGCACCACTCCTCCGCTTGACGAACATTGCCTTGTATGACGGTACAAGCATACGCGTGTCTCGGTGGCTACAGTCTGCCACTTGCACCCTCCAGCTCATGGGCGCCCCACCCGACACGTGGTTGGCTCAGCTCTCCACGCGCCTGCATGGCGGTCCTTTCGACACCTGGGAGGATTTCTACGCTTACTCCCTTCGTGCGGGTCGGACTCCGACCTTTATGGATTTCCAGGCGTTCCTCGAGGATCGCTTCGGAGCCCGACATGACGTGACTGACGCCTTCGAGTGTGTCATCACTACACGTTGTTCCGACTCTGGTGGCGCTGCCGGCCTCGATCACCACATCCAGGTCTTTCAGGATGCCCGCCTCGTATGTGATGTGGCGTTCCTCCTCGAGGTTGCCCTTATCAATCGTTTCTTGGCCAACCTTCCCCTCGAGTACCACTCTGAGTTCTGGCGGTACGAGTTCACATCGGCCCCGCAGGCTTACGAGGCTGCCAGGGACCATCAGCGGATGCGGGCCCATCTTCAACACACTTCCTCCTCCCAGCCTCACCGTACTGGTTACGCCCCCTCCTCCTCTCACGACACTTCCCAACGCCGTTCCCCTTTCCGCGGTCGCCCCCGCCGTTCCGCGCAACAGGGCCGCCACTTCTCCCGCCGCTTCAGCGCGTTCGAGTATGGTGAGCAGGACGCTGTTGCCCCGTTGTCGCTAGGAGGTGACCATAGCGACGACCTCGACCTCAGCGAGGCCGTCCACTACCACCAGAAGGACTCTACCCTCCCTATGGTGGAGCGCCTCCAGCTCATCCTCTCCACCCTCTCCCGAGCACGCAGCCGCTCTGGTCACGCTGGCGCGTCGCCCCCCGAGGTCCCTCAACAGGACCTCCCTCAGGGCTTCGTCCCTCCTCGCGGTTTCCTTTCCACTGAGGAGCACACTACCATTCTGGGCCGGCGTGGGTGTTTGCGCTTCCGCCAGGACGGTCATACCTCCTCGCGGTGCCCTTACACCGCCGCCCTTGACTGCCACTACGCTGATCTTTCCCGCCAGCGTCGTGCTCAGTCCCCCCCCCCCGCGCCTCGCATCCCCGCGGCGCCTCCTAGCCACGGTGCAGTGTACACCTGCGCCCTCCTCAGAGTCGGCTTCCCGACATCCCCGTCGCGGTTTGCCCCTCTCGCTACTGGAGTTGAGGTATCACAGGACCCAACAGAGTGTACTCAGCCCTCTGTCGCAGTACCGTCCGCGCCTCCGCAGACCACCGTCTCCCCTCCTACCCCACCGCGACTCCCGACGCGTCGAGCCATTCGCTCAGCCCGTTGCAGCGGATTTGAGCATGCTCCAGGCTCGTCAGGAGCGACTCACCTTCCATGTCGCTGCACTGCGTCGCCTTCTCACCATCCTCTCTGACCCTGATCGCACCCTCCCGATCATTCTAGTACGGCTGGGGACCTCCACGAGGGTGTACTCAACGCTGTGGGATTCCGGTTCTCAGGGCGACTTCATTCACCCACGTGTGGTGAAAGAAGCCCACTTACCCACGACAGGGTCACCGACTCCCATCTCCGTCACTCTAGGGGATGACAAGACCCAGCGCTTCTTCGATCAGACGGCCACCGAGCTCCCCTTCTTCCTCACCCTCGAGCCGACCGATCGTCCCCCGGCGTCCCGCCGCCACCGCTCCTCTGCACATTTCGATGTGATGGACACGGGAACGATTTCATTCTCAGTGCTCCGTGGTCTCGTCGGTTCCGCAGCACTGAGGCCGATTAGGCAACCAACACTCTCGTTCTCAAAATGAAGTGTGGACAGACGTATCGCGTACCTTTCATAGGTACCACTACGACACCACGCCCCGATCCTCCTCCCCCGGAGCCTTCCGTGCCCACACCATTCCCTACAATCATTGTCACCTCGCCTCTGCAGTTCACCCACTTCATCCGACAGGACGTCACCTTCTTTATGGTGAACATTACGGATCTCTTACACTATGATCCACCCTGTCCCGACGCCGAGCTCATCCTTCTGGAGCAAGATCCTCCTTCTATGTCCATGGCTCCCATCTCTACTTCCCACCCTCCGCCGTCCGTCGAATCCACCCCGTCGTCGTGCGTCGACGCTGACGCTGAGGAACTCGCACGCTATACGGCCGACCTGGAGCCCGCAGTTCGTGACCTCATTCGAGAGTACCACGATGTTTTCCCATCGTCGTTCTCGTACGCCGGCATCCCACCGATGCGTGACGTCGAGCACTCCATCCAGCTTGTGCATGACTATCGTGTTCACCACCAGGCACCCTACAGACTCTCGATCCCCGAGGCCACCGAACTCGAGCGTCAGCTTGAGGAGCTCTTGAGACTGGGTTTCATTAAACCCAGCAACTCCTCGTGGGGTGCACCCGTTCTCTTTGCTCGGAAAGCGGATGAAGCTCTCCATCTTTGCATCGACTATCACGGTCTCAACCGCTACACGGTTAAGAACAGCTACCCCATGCCTCGTTCCAACGAGCTGTTCGACCGCCTAGTAGGAAACCGCTTCTTTATGAAGATTGATCTTCGTAGCGGTTACCATCAGATCCGCGTCGCTGCAGCGGACCAGCCGAAGACAGCATTCCGATCGCACTTCGGCCACTATGAGTTTACGGTGATCCTCACCAACGCACCCGCTACCTTCCAGAGGGCGATGAATGACATCTTCAGGGACATCCTGGAGCAGTACGTTCTCGTCTACCTCATCGATATCCTGGTCTACAGTCGTACCCTTGAGGAGCATCTCATACACCTCCGCGACGTCCTTGACCGCTTGCGCAGACATGGCTTCTACGCCAAGTTGAGCAAGCGCCACTTTGCACAGCACAAAGTGGATTTCTTAGGACACTACGTGTTTGACCAGGGTCTCCACATGGACGACACGAAGATCACAGCTATTGCGGAGTGGCCCATCCCCATATCCGCCAAGCAGCTTCGCAGCTTCCTAGGCCTTACCAGCTACTATAGTAATTTCATCAAGGGATATGCTAGATATTCCTACGTCCTTACCTCCACCCTCCTCCGGCAGAACCCGCCATGGGCTTGGACACCCCTCCACGAGGACGCCTTCCGCGCCCTCGAGAAGGCGGTGACATGTGCACCGGTTCTTCACCTACCCGATTTTTATCGCCCTTTTATCCTTACCACTGATGCGTCAAACTTTGCTGTAGGAGCAGTGCTTTCCCAGATTTTCCCTTCCTCTCCTGATTCCTCTCATCCTCATATCCCTCGCTTCCCATCCCCTACCCCTACCACTGCCTCCCGCTTGACGCCTACTCGTCCCGCTACTGACGAGCCTTGTATTGACTACTCTCCTACCATCGCCGAGGACAGCACTGTCGAGTCTCGCTCAGGTGATTGTCTGATAGCCTTCTACTCCTGTCAGCTCCTGCCCGTCGAGATAATCTTACACTGCTGATGAACGTGAGGTTCTCGCAGTAGTTTATGCCGCTCGACACTATTGTCACTACCTTCACGGTGCGCACGAACAACTCTGTTGTCCAGGCTTTTCTGACATAGCTGAAGCTCACCCCTCGACAGGCTCGCTGGTGGCGCAACCTATCCGAGTTTAGTTTCACCACTGAGCACATAAAGGGTGAGGCTAATCGGGTCGCATATGCCTTATCCTGACGCCCTGACCATGATCAGGAACAGCTCCAGCTCACTGCCATTTCGGTCACCACCGTCCACCACTCGGTGATCGACGAGTTTCGCACTCAGTACCGTCACTGCCCTAACTATCGCAACATCCATGCGACCCTTCGGAGTGGCAACACCGTTCCGAACTACTCTTTCGGGGACAACGGTCTTGTGTACTGGCACGGTTCACAGGGCACCAGAGAGCCCCGTATTTGCGTTCCCTCCACTAGACAACTACGTGTCTGGGCAGTAGCAGAGTTCCATGACCAGGCAGCCGCCAGTCATATGGGCTTCCACAAAACGTTGCCTCGTGTGAGCCACTTGTACGTCTGGCCGAAGCGCAAGGACTTTGTGAACGATTACGTCGTAGAGTGTCCCACCTGTCAGGCGGTGAACAGTGCGAACCACTTGCCTTATGGTTTGCTCCAGCCTCTTCCTATCCCTGAGGGTCGTTGGCAGTCCATCTCGATGGACTTTATCGGTCCTCTTCGTCCTCCGACCCCCTGCGGTCATGATGCTATCCTGGTTGTCATCGACAGCTTCACGAAGCGTGCACGCTTTGTTCCGTGCTGCTATGCCATCAGTGCACGTGAGATCACCGACATCGTGTTTAACCTAGTCGTGTGAGACCACGACTTACCTCTAAGCATCATATCTGACCATGACCCGCGCTTTACCAGCCGATTCTGGCGACGGCTCCACAAGGTATATGGCACCCAACTCCACTTCTCCTCGTCTTACCATCCCCAGACTGATGGTCAGACCAAGGTCACGAACAGGACTCTCAGAGATATCCTCTGAAAGATTGTTTGTGACGACCAGCAGTGGGATCTCCATCTTGCCCACGCGGAGATAACCTACAACCACGCCATCTTGCCAACCACGGGGATGTCGCCTTACTATTGCGACCTCGGCTATCACCCTCGTGTTCCCACGGACTTCCTTCGACCGTCACAGATGCACCCTGACACGAGTTGTCCCGCACTGGATGATTGGGTTGCACGCATGACGTCGATCATGAAGACCGCACAGGAGCACATAGCCACTTCCCAAACTCGCATGGCCGCACGTGCAAACCGATCGAGGATGGATCATCCATTCAAAGTCGGTGACGATGTGCTTATCGACGCCCGCCACTTACAGCTCGAAGCAGACACGCTTCGCAAGTTTCGACGTCGCTTCTTTGGCCCATGCCGCATTCTCCAGGCCGTCGGTTCTGATACGACATCTAACCCGGTCAGCTTCCGTGTGAAGTTGCCCGACTACCTACACCAGGCTCGTGTGCACGATGTCTACCACGTCTCGTTACTGCGTCCCTACCGCAGACCATCTGAGCATTTCGTTGGACGACCATACGAGCGCCCTCCACCAATCATAATGGACGACCACAAGGAGTTCCTCGTTTCAGACATCATTAGTCGCCGAGTCACTGACGACAACCCTCCCCACGTCAAGTGTCTCGTACGTTGGAAGGGTTACCCTGAGGAGGAGGCTACTTGGGAGCCCCTCGAGCACTTGCAGCACGCTCGCATGTTGGAGCGTGCCTATGACCGTGCTCGTCGTGCTGGGTTGACTGCTCCTCCTTAGCCCACTTGCCCTCCTCCTTCTCCCTCGGCTGAGGAGACCGCTGAAGTCGAACCTGCTCCATCTGAGTGCAAACAGTGTCTTAAGGTCGTCAATGCCCGATGAATCCCTGAAACAATTGCACACTGGCCAACCAACAAACAAACTAGTGGGGGGAGACAGTCATAGCAGTCCCACATGAAGGGCAGCTGGTTTGAAAAAAAAAAAAAAACTTAACTAGCAAGGCCACAACCAAATGTTGACCGCACAACTTCACTTTCCTCCCGCGTATATGCTGGCATAGTTACTGTGGCTGGGCCAAGGCCTGAACAAAACCATCCTTAAACCGCCAATACTTGGCCTAACTATCGACCGTGGAAAAAAATAGAGTAGAAACGTTCGTAGTCGGATGAATTTGGGTGCTCATGTAGTGGCCCGTACGTTTCCTAATATCGTGGCTTGTTAACAGGCACGACTTTAGTAAGTACTTTCTCTTTATTATAACTTAAAGTAAAAAGCGGTCCGCGCGTGATGCTCCCGCTGGGCCCAGCGAAATTCGGGTAGGGAGGTCCGCGCGAGGTGCCGTAGGGGACCGAGGAGGGTGCAACGGTTGGGGAGGCCGGTAGCCGGGACGACCGTCGTCGTGACGGGGGGGGGGGTCGGTTCATGTCGTAGCAGGGAAGTCTCGGCGCGATGTAGTTGGGGAGGCCGGTAACTGCCACGGGCGGCATCGCAAGGGGGGGGGGTGTCAGTTGGCGGGAAATATTCACTATTGCAGCAATCGAATGCGAGGAGCGATTTCGGGCGGCAACGGGGTGGCAGTGTGGGCTGCGTCGGCAGGAGGTAGGGGGAGGTAGGAGGTAGAGCGAAAGAGGGGAGGGTGGGAGTACGATGACCGAATCGTGCGCAGTGGGAACGACGAGAGAGAGAGAGAGAGAGAGAGAGAGAGAGAGAGAGAGAGAGAGAGAGAGAGAGAGAGAGAGAGAGAGAG